GGGCAAGGGGACGTGGTGGTTTTTCTGGAGGTAATGATGAGCGTGAAAGTACTCTTAACCAGTTGCTTGTTGAAATGGATGGATTTGGAACCACATCTGGGGTGGTTGTTCTTGCTGGTACCAATAGACCTGATATTCTAGACAAAGCCTTGTTAAGGCCTGGTCGATTTGATCGACAAATTAGCATAGATAACCCTGACATCAAAGGTCGTGAACAGATATTTCAAATCTACTTGAAAAAGATCAAACTTGATCAGGAGCCATCCTATTATTCACAGAGACTTGCTGCCCTTACTCCTGGATTTGCTGGTGCGGATATTGCAAATGTTTGTAATGAAGCTGCTTTGATTGCTGCAAGGACTGAGGAAACACAGGTGAAAATGGAACATTTTGATGCAGCCATAGATAGAATAATTGGTGGTCTGGAGAAGAAAAACAAGGTAAATCAGAATTTCATTTGCTGGCATGCATATGCTTACTATTTAGGGTCCAGGGCTGGTTGGTCATGTATATAAGGATGTCTAGTTATTTGAAGTTTAACTATCAAAGAACAGTAATATCTCTGCTTTTCAAACAGGTCATCAGCAAACTTGAACGCCGTACTGTAGCTTACCATGAATCTGGTCATGCTGTTGTTGGCTGGTTTCTAGAACATGCAGAACCCTTGTTGAAGGTAACAATTGTTCCTCGTGGTACTGCAGCACTTGGCTTTGCTCAGTATGTCCCCAATGAGAACCTTCTTATGACAAAGGAACAACTTTTTGACATGACATGCATGACTCTTGGTGGTCGTGCTGCAGAACAGGTAACTACAAACAGCTGATGTAGGTATTTTAGTTATGAAAAACTTCTATTAGAGTTGACGTTAACAAATCACTGGACATTTCTTGTGGGAATTGTTCAAAAGTTCAGCAGTGCAATAAAAGCATGTTACGTTATTTTTTGGTTTCATATTCATTGTGAGACACACCATTATGGACTGATATTTAAATTGATTATTTGAAAAGAGTCCTTGGCTCATGAGTACGAGGGACTTTTTCATGTGAGAGAGAGAGAGTGAGAAATTGTTACTTTGTGGATAATAACAAGTTTGCTTATAATAATTTGATTTTTCTTTGTTGTTGATTCAGGTTCTGTTGGGTAAAATATCAACTGGAGCCCAGAATGACCTGGAAAAAGTGACAAAAATGACATATGCCCAAGTTGCTGTCTATGGTTTTAGCGAGAAGGTGGGCCTTCTTTCTTTTCCTCAGAGGGATGAATTTGAGATGACCAGACCTTATGGTAGCAAGACGCAGCAATTATAGACGCTGAAGTACGTGAATGGGTTGGCAAGGCTTATAACCGAACAGTTGAACTGATTGAGGAACACAAGGAGCGTGTAGCTAAAATTGCTGAGCTGTTGCTTGAGAAAGAGGTTCTTCATCAGGATGACTTGGTCCAAGTACTTGGTAAACGACCTTTTGAATCAGCTGAGTTAACAAATTATGACAGATACAAGCAAGGGTTTGAAGAGGAAGTTCAGAAGACTAAGCAGGCTATTGATGATAGAACTACAAATGATGATGGGCCATCACCTCTTGAACCAGAGGTTGTTCCTGCTTAAGATCCAGGACACAAGCTGGTTTCTGTACAGAATGTCATGACTTCCTTTTCTGGGTTAGGCTGTTCTTGATGCTGGCATTTGATGGCCAGATGCTCTCTGACCTCTTTTCTCCTCCAAGCGACGACATCGATAAAAAGGTTTCACATTTAGGTACTGCTGGTTGCTGACATTGCGCTGCCCACCCTCGCCAAGTAACACAATTGCGGTGGTGTCTCGAGGATGGCATTGGAGGCAATGGGACCATCAAGATTCCAATCTTCTACTAGCGCATCTCATGTGGGTATTGTTATATCATAGTTGTTGAAGTTTGGTTTTAAAGAAAATACTGGAAAAGATGAAAGAAACAATTTGATGTACATGGACTTGAGCAATTCTGATTTACGTCACTCTGCAACCTGAGTATGTTCTTGAGAAGTTGGTCATTTTGGTTAGTTTCACAATTACCATTTTCTTTTTCTGGAATAGAAAAATCACCTTAACACGGTAGAGAAAAGAATTTGACAGGAAGCCCCTACTTGTTTACTCAGGTGGCCAGTCCAGTTGCTCGGAAACCTGAATAGAGACAACCCCCCATTCCTCCTCCTCCCTTCCTTTCCCGGGTTTCGTATATTTTTCTTTTTCTTCTCCTTTCACCTTTAGCGTCTTGATTGATTGAATAAATTATCTCATTCTCCTCCGTTTGTGTTTCTGTCTCTTCTATTAAAACAATTTCGCTTTCCGATGAACAAATTGAGAGGCTTTAATCAGGAAGCGGCGTGAATTTTATACCTTCTTTAAGCTTCTAAAGCGTTCAAGAATTTCTTTATTTTACTTGATCGGAATGGATTTCTAAACAAGCTGCCTTGTTTTTTCGTGATCACATTTTTTTATTATTATTTTTTTTTACATACATCAAATCATTACAGTAATTTTTCTACAACAAATTTTAGAAAAGGCAATCCAAACACAACTTTTTCTCAATGATTCAAGAGTGTAGAGACACTCATTGGCTCTTGACTCTTCCAATACTCATTGCTACGGATACAAGTAATGCCCTTAAAATATATACTGGTGTTGTACCAAAGACCGACCACGTATATTAATTTGCTAATATAATCTGCAATGCTTCAAAATGTGAAAGCATCCAGTTTTTTTTTTTTTTTTTGGGGGGGGGGGGTGGGGGTTGGTGGGGCTGGTTTGGGGAACTAGGAAGGAAGTATCCTATTCCTGTCATTGTATTCTAGATCTTCTAGTTTAGTTATATTCTTATAAAAAGCTGGGAAAGCTTGGATACTAATCAAACGGGATGAGTTTGAATAGAATAGGATCATGCGGAATTGGAGTAGGATAGAAAATTGGCCTTGCGGACTTGCGGTTAAAATAAAGCATAAAGCCGTGGAGACTGGGGAATGGTCTTTCTTCGCATGCATGTGTTGACGGCATTGGTCGAGACTTTCTGTTACGCGGTGTATAGTTTTCAACTTGTCAAAAGATGACTGGACCAGCGCATTCAACCAACTTAACCGGACCAGCATTTTCAACTAGTATTTTAGTATTAGTAAAATGTGTGTGCATTTTCTAGTCTTGGAAACCCTCGATGAACGACTTTTCCTATCGCCTTCAAACTTTTATCCTAATGTCACCTAACACTCCTAAAATTTTAGAAATCTCACATAGCTCCCCTCAAATAATAATTTGTATAACATTGCTACCTTTTATGTGTAAAAGCAATATTAAAAAGGGTTAATTACAGTTTGCCTCCCTGAAGTTGAACCATTATAACACTTTACCCACCTTAACTTTAAATATATGCACTTTGCCCCCTTCATTGATTAGTCAAATGTTAATGATGAATTATCCATCCAAAATTTTAACAAACTGATATTAATGCCCTTACACAATAGTTTTAGAATAATACTATGCTTTTAATTGGAATATGAAACATCTTATTAGAAAAAAGCACAAAGTCACATGATTTTGAAAATTTTAAAAAATAAAAGATGGTATAATACCAAAAAATTGAAAAATTGTATTACGGAGAAAAAAGAATTTAAAAATTCTTAAAACATCTGCACAATTTTCCATCGCTTATCTTTTTTTCTTTTATATTGTAAACGGATTGATTTTAATAATTTTCATTTAGCTTGCAACTTTTACAAGATTTTCATGAGTCAATAAAGTATTATTCATTAGTTTTATGCCATATTCATCATTGCTTTGTATTTTGTTTGAGTTCTACATTTAAAAAAACTAAAAAAATCTCAAATATGTTTTTCAATACATTTTTACTTTTTAATCACGTTTTTATTTCATATAAAACACATTAAATTGTGCTACAATAACAAATATAAGAAATAATTTTTATTCCAAACCCACTAATTAATTTTATTTCATTTAAAATAAGTACTACCATCAGCATTGAAATAAATACATTGAGTTGCTTAGGCTTTTTTTGTGAATTATTTAATTCATTTTAATACTAAAAGTTCAAAATGTATAGCATAATTGTGTTTAGATACATTTAGCAACTATTAAATAAATAGGTATTTATTATGTTACAATTATTATGTGTACTTAAGAATTAGTCAGGGATATTTTGGTCATGAAAAATATAATATCATTTTAACCCATCAAAAAGTTTGCCACAAGGTATAAAGTGTATATATTTGGAATTTAGAGAGCAAAGTGTTACAAGGGCCTACGTTCAAGGGGCAAAGTGTAATTAATCCTATTAAAGAAATGCATTGGAGAAGAGAGATTATATTATCTTATAATTTGATTTATGAAATTTGAAGTATGAAAAAAGACAAATAAGATGGAATATTAAACTTAAAATATGAGAAAGTGTAAATGTAATAAGTAACTAGATAATACTGTTGTGTGTAAGGATAATTTCTAAAGCTACGTCAACATTATAAAAAGGCAAATATTTCAAGAGATTGGTTGCAACGAGGAAGAAATTAAAAGTAAAAATTTTATAGCAAAGAGACACAAAAAATTTGTTATGAAGAGGGAAATTATGATGAAAATTTTAAGAGATCAGTTGTGGCAAAGACGAATATTAAAAGTAAAGATTTTTACAACAAAGTGGGAGAAAAATATCTTAGATTTGTTTTTAGATATTTTAGCATGTAGGATTTTTTTTTCTCTTTTCCAACCTTTTGCGACTTAAAAAAGTAGGAAAATATTCGGGGTAACTTCGTCATTTCAATGCCTCTAATTGGTATATCTAGTCACATTAATTAAAATGGGAGGTAAGTGAAATTTTTGAAACTTTGAGAGCTTCAGGTGATATTAGGATGAACCTTGAGGAGGTTCATGAGATTAACCCCATTTGAATTGCAAAGAAAACGTTCTAACTTCTAACTGCTATTTATGTCTTCGACGCGGACTATTTAAGAACAGTCCTCTCTTCAATTTCCCCTTGTACTGCTTCCGTTCCATTCTTTGGCATTAAGTAATCGTTCATCTTTCTTTCGATTCTTCTACGTCTTGATAATTTTTTCTCTTGCAGCGGGCAGTTTCTTAACCTATCGTCTCGCTTGAATCTGGTAATGTTCTTAGCCTTCATTGCTTCAGTGGGTCACTCTTTCATTGAATCTGGTACCGCCGATGCTTTTCATTAACGTGGTATAAATTGTAAAGATTGCAACTTTTTGTGTTGTTGATAAAAAATATTGTGCTCGTTGAGGCTTTAGTTCATCTTGGATTTATGCTTTAAGAATATAGTATGAGTTATGTGTAAGTCGAAACTGTTGCTCTAGATTTTGTGTAGGTACATTGTAATATTAGTATGGTTCTTTTTTAAGTGCTATGGTTAGAAGCATTGGTACGGGTATTGATAAATGTAATTATTCGAGCAAGGAGTTGTCTTTTCTAGGAACTGATTCATGGGTGTAATGCTGGTACTCTGTTTAGGTTTATTGTCTTTTCTTCAAACTTCTGGTATTATGGTTATGCCATGAATGATTAGTCCGGTTACAAAGCATGATTTTTTCTCACCAACAACACACTTGCGTGAGTGATAGATTTTAGTCTTTCTAAGCATCTGTCACTAAGACATGTTTTGTTCAATTATTGGTACTTGCGCGCGTGATAGTTTTGGCCTTTCTAAGGATCTTTCATTGAGAGATATTTTGTTCATTTCTTGGTGAGATTAAAGTGTCTAATGGAGTTTATTTGCAGTTCAGACTTTTGATGCTTGGTTTTCACTTGTTGTCTCAGTAGGAGTCCAATTCCAATATTGTGCCAGACACCTGGTTTATGTTTTGGGTTATGTCCTGTCACTATTGTTACTTGAAAGTTTCATTTGCTGAATTGTGGCTTTTCTCCTGTTAGATAGAAGTCCATCATCTTCTCCCTCGTCCGTGGGAGGGGATTCAGACCTTTCGAAACTGATGCAGAGATTGGGGTAGCCATACAATTGCTTGTTATGTGTATTGATTTGTGCAATTGTCATGATTTCTATTTTATGCACAAGGAGAATGTCATTTGGATAGTTTTCTGGTGCTTCAACTTAACCTTATAAGATTGTTTTCTGCTTTGAATTAATTAGATTGTTGAAAATTTTTGGGTTCGAAATGGAAAAAGATAGCTACCAGCAAGTATCAGGGCAAAAATATGAATGCGTTCTGTTTGGTAAGTCTTCTTTCCGTATATGTAATCCTGTAGTAAATGTTTAAAATGCTGTTATAAGGAATCTTAAAACTTGCTTGCACTTGAATTTTCAGATGTTGATGATACCCTTTATCCTCTAAGCTCTGGGATTTCTGCAGAAATAACAAAAAACATTGCTGGTAACACATCATGAGTCATTGCTATATATCTTATGCATAGTTAACAAGTATGGTCCTCGCCCACCAAATTCATCTTAAACTCTGTAGTAATTTGCCTCTTCTGTGGATGTCTTTCTCAAGAGTATATGGTCACAAAGCTTGGCATAGATCAGACCAATGTTACTGAAATGGCATTGCAACTATACAAGGATTACGGAACAACAATGGCTGGTTTGAGGGTATGATTTTCACCTTAGAATAGGATCAAAATAGTCTCAAATGTACTATGTGCTGATATGGCTAATGTTTCTGGTTTGATATGTTTTGTCCCTGTCCAGGCCATTGGTTACGACTTTGACTATGATGACTATCATAGGTACAAATACACCTCCTATTTATCCTTATATTAGGTTGTGAATCAGAAGCATTTCGTCTCACATGATCTTGGCTTACAGTTTTGTACATGGACGATTACCTTATGAGATGTTAAAGCCTGATCCAGTCTTAAGGAACCTTCTGCACAGCTTGCCGATTCGCAAAGTGGTAAGTTTCTCCTGCAAACTTAAATCATGCAGCATTTCTAAGCGTCAGTGCCCTCTCTCCTCTGACAATGCTTCATTGATGATTGCAAAATAGATATTCTCAAATGGAAATGAAGCCCATGTCGCTCAGGTAGTTAGTAGACTTGGATTAGAGGACTGCTTTGACGGAGTCATTTGTTTTGAGACTTTAAATCCTACTCACAATAGCAGTGAACCAAATGATGATGATGGTGAGTTTTAGATATTAAACCGACATCCTTAAGAGTCGTAAATTGGAATTATGTCAACAGTCCCTTGTACTGTCTATGCAGTTTCAGAAATCCCAAAGACTCCAGTTATCTGCAAACCATTTGAGGAGGCCTTTGAGAAGGCTTTTAAGATAGCTGGGATGAACCCTGAGAAGACTGTAAGACTATAAGCCTCTTCAAATCTGATTATTGTAATTCGTATTGATGCTAAATATGATCTATACTTTGGTTTATGAGTTTCTCATTAGATTGTTTGATTTTGTATCTTCTTTCGTCTGTAGTTGTTCTTTGATGATTCTATTCGTAATCTTAAGACTGCAAAGAGTACAGGGCTCCATACCATTTGGGTAAGCAAGAGAGAAGTTTTGAATTTTACAAGGAGCACTTCATATGATTCTCAATTTGACGGACTATGCTGTTTAAATTTCTCTGGTATGAAAATAGGTCGGATCCTCTCACCAAACAACTGGAGTAGATCATGCACTTGAAAGCATCCACAATATGAGAGAGGCATTGCCTGAGCTATGGGAAGCAATTGGAGCATCAGATGTTTGCTCCACTGAAAAAGCTGCAATTGAAACTCCAGTTAGAGCTTAAATCTCTAATTCTTGAGGGCATCAAGATCCATAGTTTCCCCTCTGACTAGGATCTCACCATGCCTGTTAATACTTTTATCAGTGGATGTGGGTCTTGTAATGTGATCAAAGAGTCTGTTTCAAGTCTAGTCATGTACTTTGTATTCCTTTTCTGCAATACTGCTGTTTCTTGAATACTCTGCCAATGATAATTGCCTAATGTGTCCTGCTAATGCTTGGTTAGTCCTTCCTGATGCTTGCTCTACAACCTTGGCTAGAACTAATCATGATCGATGCAAACAAGATCACTGCTTTTGACCTCCCCAACATGATCTCAGATTATTGATTCTTTTTGACACATCTTTGGGTCGAGCAGCTATGATGCGTAAATGTGAACCAGGAATTTTCTGTCATCGTCACAAGTACAATGCCTTTTGACTTGATAATTTGCGCCTTCCAGCATTATACTTCACAGATTGACCAAATTCTTCTAATCTATACATTTCTGCATGCTATTATGCTCCACTTGGATTAGTATATGGTAAGGGTGTCCGAGATGCTAAGATACTCGAACACATTAAGTCTGAAGCCAAGTCTCAACTTTAATGCCTTACAAATTGGGCATCAAAGTAAAGCGTGATTCCTTTACTGAAACACAGCAAGCCCTCACATGAATGTAATCTAGTAATCCTTCTTCACATAAATCTTAGTCAAACTCCAATAATTGTTTTAATAACTCATAGAAAACAGTACATTTGGGAAGAGAGATGGGTTAGGTGATTTAGGTGAAGGAAATGTAAGTAAAAGATCTCGAGTTCAAATCCACCCACTTACACTTGAAAAGGGAAAAAAAAAAAAAAGGCACTCTCTTAATCGTGATATAAAGTCAAAATGGGCTGATTTAAGTTTGAACTCTTTGAAGGTAGCAGAATGGAACTAGTTTATAAAGTAGAGGAGCTTTAGCGTAATTTAACCAAAATCTTATACCCGTACTTGTGCTTCAACACGCTCCTTTTATCTTCCTCTGATTATGCAGTAACTCCACAATCAACCCCAGCCCCAGCTTGAAGACGGGGAGCATTATTCTTCTACCAGTTCGGTTCCATCACTCTCGTCTCTAATGGGCTTCAATCTGATGCTTTTCACGAATACGGGATACGCATAAGAGAAGCTCATCCAGCGATTGATTTTGTCAATTGAGTTCATCAACCCTTTGTAACATTTACGGGGCAGCTTCTGCATTAATTCCTTGGAGCTCCTAATAAGGGATTTGATAAAAATTGCTGTGGCAATAGCGCCGGCCCGAAGCTATAATCAAGTTTCCTATCTCAGTTCCCCACCGGCCACCCGCGGCCCTGCTTCGCATCCGTAAGAAGATAGTATAGTGCTTCGGATTTTACTATTGCTGTAGTAACAACCAGATGTTGACCTTTGCCTTTTGGAATATAGAAACTTAGATTATCCCTTATTTGATGAGGCAGTTTTTTGTTTCTTCTTTTTCTCCTTAGTTTCTCAATTTGTTTTTTGATTTGTGTCCTAGCAAAAGCTGGGCTCTTTAGAATCTTTGCTAAATTTTAATGGGCGCTGTGTAATATGGTTCTAGCAGTCCATCCAAATAATAATAATAATAATTGTAGAAGCAATAAAAGAAGTTGTATCCAAGCATTAGTGTCAAGAATACTGAAGTTGGTTAAAGTTACTGACTTGGTAATGCAAAGTGGTTCTGATCTTCACAACTGTTGCCACATGTTTAACTTGCAAACCAGTGCAAAGATGTCCATACAGTTAGCTTAGAGGAAACAGTGACATGCTGGCAACTTAATCCAACTGACACAAAAGAGATTCGCATAAACATCCTCATTGTAAAGAATTATCAGATAGTTGATAGTACTTTTAATGTAGTTTCAAATGCAGGTTAGAGTTTGTGTAGCAGGGCAACACATATGGCGGAGCGTGGTCAACCCTTTCGACAGGCAAGGGGGAGTAACAAGAAGAAATTTGTCCTCTTCCCGTTCTTCCTTTTTCACTAAATCCGCCACCCGTTATCAACCTCCTCAAAACTGCAACCTCAACATCAGAAGAAATTCACAACATATGGATAGTTCGTTTAACAATCCTAATGGGAATGTCAAGGATAATTCTGACAACAGGAGTTGGATTAAGGATGCTGCTGATGTTATTGATGAAGAAAATAATCTTCCCAGCTTAGTTGGAACTTGCCCTTTTATGTGCCCAGGTTGGTTGGTTAACTACTTTGTTAATATTACTTTTCTTTGGTTTCTCCCTTCCTTTCTTCCCCTTGTAGTTCTTGAATCAAATTGCGCTAAATGTCAGTTTTTTTTTGTTGCTTTTTTTGTGTTTTTTTTTGTTGGGGGGGGGGGGGGGGCGGGGGTATAAGCAGTTGAGGAGAGGTTACAACGTGAGAGGCTACGAGATTTAGCCACATTTGAGAGGCTTGATGGGAATCCAGGGAAATCATCATCAAATCTTGCTGTTAAAAAGGTAATCATTCTGCAACTTTCTAGCAGCGCTGTTGTTACTGCTTTATTCTTGTAATACCTATTGTTATTCCTCTTAGGGTCCTGAAACTAAGATTTCAAAGCAAGATGAAGAAAATAATAGAAAGATAATAGTCTTGGAAACATGCATTTAAAATGTCTTGAGATTTCAACTGAGGACATCAATTTGCATTTTATATTGGTAGCTCAAAAATCTCAGCCTTTTCTTTACTTTTCAATTTAAGTGCTATTTGTCGAAAAACAATGGTTCTTGAAAGGGTTTCATCTCATTAGGTTAATTTGTGTTTTGGATTTGATTCACTTGGCTGTCATTTGAATATTTCGATATTTGACTGGGCTGACATTTGAAGATTTCGATGTTCCATTCTCAACACAAACTTCTTCAATTTTATCTTTTATTAGTTTTGCAGAACAATTTCAACTAGAGAGATACAAGTTTCTGATGTGCGGCCTCTCTCAGTGTTGGAAGGAACTCTGAACCACCTCTTCAACTTATTTCATTCAAGTGATCATCCTTTCGAGGTCGTTCATGACTTTATCTTTGATAGAACAAGATCCATAAGGCAAGATCTAAGTATGCAGAATATCTCCAATAATAGAGCAATCACAATGTATGAGAGAATGGTACGCTTATTGATCGATACTTACAAGTTTTTTGCTGATTGGTGTCATTGTGATAGCATGAATTTCTAATGTCATTTGTCATACAGGTTAAATTTCATATTATATCCCATCAGAAGCTGCATAGATCTAGCAGCAGTCCGAATGCTTCTTCTCTGCTTTACCTCAACTTGGAGCAGCTAACAAAGTCGTTGATGACACTGTTTAATCTTTACGAAACCAATCGGATATCACATTCTATTTATGACAATGAGCCTGAATTCTGTTCATTTTATGTTCTTCTCCAAATTCATCCCGACAGCAAAGTAATTGCTTTATCTCCTAAAATTGCTGCTGTTAAGGGGTTTATGTTAATTCCTCTCGATCTGGTATTGAATATAAAGATTTTTTTTTTATACCAGCAGGGTGAGCCCTTGTCCTTGTGGTTCCGCAATCTCCCCTCTGCAATTATGAAATCAAAGCAGATGTGCTTTGCCAGGAATCTTTTGAGGTAAGGTAGAGTTGATAGACTTTTCTGCTTTTACTATTAGATACATATGGAAGGTGGTGAAAGAATATTGGGCAGAGTAAAGCAAAAATGAGGGTAAGAGTGAGGTGATTACTTTAGTAAGTAGATGACCAGTTGGATCTTATTTAATTTTCTACCCTCATGTAGATACTTTCGCTTGGGCAATTACAAGAGGTTTATGTATATGATGAAGAGCGAAGCATCCTGTCTCCAGTGCTGTATTGTTGAGCCTTACATCAATGAGGTTTATCTAGATTCTTTTTTGTCTTCAAAATGAGTAGATATCTCTCTTTTTCTAACATTTTTTTCTATTTGGATTTCGCCTTCTTTACTTTTTGGAAACCAATGGGGAATCCGGATCATTTCATTGCACAAAATTATCTCTGTTAAATAGCGCAGGACTTTGTGTTGAGAGAATTTCACACAACTTCAGTCTTTCTTCTTGTTTGATCTTATAAAGTTGTTAAAAAGAAGTGATTACAGAAACATCAGATTTGTATTTTTGCTTTCTTTGTATGGGGAGGTTTTCTTGTACGGTGCAAAAAGCTGTTGAATTAGGGTAATCATCTAGTTTCTGTATACATAATTGACAATGCAGCTTGCTCATAGTCCAAAGCATACAAGTTCACTTGAATCTGTGAAGTGGTCTTGGTTAGTGGTTTATTCTTGGTGCTCTGTAATTTTCCCTCTTTTCCTTCTTCTTTTTTCCCTGAACACAAATAGTTTGTCCCTACTAAAGGTTCGGGCACTAGCGTAAGCTGTTTAAATCAGGCAGGATACAAGCTGCAACCTTTTCCGCTGGCGGACCTATCAAATCTCCTTTTGTTGCAGGTGAATATTGTTGTTACACGCAGCTTTTTGCAGAATTTGTTTCAGAATGTTTGATTATCCTGTATGTCTCAACTAGGAATCGGACGTTGAGTCTTTCTGCAATGAATGTGGTCTTGAGACCTCTTCTGATGAGGTAGGAAAACGGATCTTGGCACCTAAGCAATCAAGTTTTTTCCATCCAAGGAAAGGATTTCAGAAGTATTATCCTATACACTCTGAAGGATTACAGGGGTACGTAGTTCTGCACATGGTTTACCTTACACTTGGAAAAATAATTTAGGAAGGAGGAAGAAAAGAAAGAAAAAAAATAGAGCAATATAGCTGTAAACAAATGAAGTGGCTTTTGAAGTTTGTTTCCAATTGAAAGAGCTAAGCTGGAGGGAGTTAATGATCACCTCCCCTTCCCCCTGCTTTCTGATTTGTTATAATTTGTGTCAAAAGAACCCAATTCTCTCTCGCTCTAATTTCGTTCTTTAACATCAAGCAGAAAGTGAATTGCTTTTTTCTTCCTCAGTTTAAATCAAAGTTCTGAGCAAGCCGTGAACTTTTCAGGGTATCTATCAACTTATTGGATCTTTGATTAGTGTGCATGTTATCATACTCTGGTTCGATGGCCTCTGGCAAAAGTTAAGCCTCTAGAGCCAATGGCTTTTGTTCCCTGGGCGGAAAGAAGATAACTTTTCAACACACCTTGAACTTTTTACACGAAATATTGTGGTTGAGTTGGCTATGCTGTTGCCTTCTGCTTGAGAGCTGAGAATAGATGTC